CTGTTGACAGTCATCATATGAAAGCTGTTTGGGCTGTCTGGTGCAGAATCTTGGGCAGAGTTGAAGTTGAGGCTGAGGATGGAAGAGAAGCCAGTTCGGGCCTTAGCTGCAAGACAGTGGATGACAGGCGTAGGAGCTACTGGTCCTGCACCACCTCATTGCAAGTCAAATTAAGGGAATAATGCAAGTCTAGTAGATATTTAATGAGAGATTATTCCTGGAGATTACAAGGATACAGAAATTGCAAATAAATCCCTGACCTTTTCTGAGCCTTGGCCCAGTAAAAGAGCTGAATCACCTGCTTCAGGGGATTAAGGACAGCCGCGTCCATCTGGCAGGCTGCTCAGACTTTTTCTGTCATTAGCAAACTCTGTTCAGTGGTGGATCATGTTCTAAACCTTTTAGTGGGAACTTGCTTTTCAGCAGAGGGATCTCAATTAACTTAGATTATGTACCTGCTGGGCAGAGATCAGAACTAATGATCTCTAGTTATGTATGCACTATAATCACTATTACATTAGTAGTACTCTGTACATGCTAAATAATAATGCAGTTGTTAATCATTAGTAACCTAATCATGACATCAGCAGGTAGTTCAAGTTGATGAGACTAGAAGTCAGACTGTGTGTGTGAGCGTTCATGCTTGTGGGTGACATAGCCTTAGAGACACAGAGAGAAACAGGGATGTGCCAGGGCAGCAGGCAATGTGATAATTGTTCAGTTGCAGCTTAGAGACTTAGAGCAATGATTGTTAAACTCTGTGTCATGAGTTCTTTGTTGGGAACTGTTGTTTGATATGAATTCCATTTCTGAATACTGTGTTATCTGCCTCTAAAACTGTAATAATTACATCAGACTGCAACTTGAACAACTAGAGGCTGACAGTTACCTTGAACTCTCTTTGACTTGGTAATATGTCAATGTGTTCTACTTTTGAACATAGACAACTAATATATACTAATACTGTGTTACATGTGTAATGTGTAATGCCCTTATGTGTACATCTGTGTAAGATTTATTTCAAGAAAAGGAGTTAGCAGGTTTAAAACAAACGAAAGAACTTAGTAATGTTGGGGAAACCAAAGGAGAATTGCTAAGAGATTTCGGGAGGTGGGGGTAGTTTGCTTTGCTAATTTCTAAAAGAAGTAATGGTAATTAATGTAGGTTAATAGAATTCAGTTTTTTTCTGGATATACTTGGAAGGTTCCATTGCATTCTTTTCCACTAGCTATTACTTACCTAGGAAAGGATCTTGCTTCTTAGAGTCAAACACAGAAAGGTTCAAGAACTCATTTGGACTTGCAGGTCTATCTCTGGCTCTGCCCATCTGCTAGTTATGCTGATGGCTTTATGAGCAGGTATCTTTTGGCCACTGGGGTTGTCACTGTCAGCTGCCAGGTTATTTCAACTTTCTAAAACGTTTACCACTGTTTATGAGGTAAAGGGAGCAAAATACTTTTTGTCCAAGATAGACGTTGATCAAGGTATAGAACAAGATCAGGCTGCAAATGTACTCTTAAAGCATCCAGGTTTGGAATCAGTCCCAGTAGTGCCCCAGAGGAAAGTGCAAAATGGTGGTTCTTTCTCTCCTGAACTTTTTTGACTATCATCCCTGTGCATAAATTATGTTGATCACCTCTCGAAAGAAGAACTCAAAAGCTTCAACTGACTATTGAATCACAGTTGTGAACGTTTTAGAAACCTCCTTAAGTACAAAAAATAATTTCCCTCTGACAAATAGTTTCCAGTAGGCTCTATTCTGATTACTGTATAAAGGAATGAATATCCTCCCCTGCACATGAAAGGATGCCCAACATCATTAGTCACTAGGGAAATGCAAATCAAAACCACAGTGAGATACCACTTCACGCCCACTAAAAAAGTTATAATAAAAAAAAGAAATGACAAATATCGGGAAGGATGTGGAGAAATAGGAACCCTTATACATTGCTGGTGAGAATGCACAGTGGTGCAGCTCTTTGGGAAGCAGCTTGACAGTTCCTCAAAAAGTTCAGCATAGAGTTACCATTTAATCCAGCTGTTCCATTTGTAGGTATATACTGAAGTGAACATAGATGTCAACACAAAGACTTGTACACAGATGTTCCTAGCTGCGTTTCGCAACCAGCAAGTAGAAACAACAATCAATGAATGGATAAATGACAGGTGGTATATCCAGACAGTAGAATATTACTTACTCATAAAAGGGAATGATATATTGATGCTGCAACATACATGACTCTAGGAAACAGTATACCAACTGAAAGAAACTAGACACAAAAAACTATGGTAGTATATGATTCTTTTTATATGACTTGCCTAAAATGGGCAAATCTTTAGAGACAGTAAACAGATGACTTTTTTTAAGGAAATGATGGAAGGCAGGGGATAGGGTGTGAATGCTAATGTGTATGAACTTTTATGTGGAAGAAAAGGAAAATGTTATAGAATCAAATAATGGTGCCTGATTCATAACTTTGTAAGTATACTAGAAACCAATGACTTTTGAGCTTTAAATGGGTTATGTTAGGGTATGTGAATTATATCTCAGTAAAACTCTTATTTTAGGGGCGCCCGGGTGACTCAGTGGGTTAAGCCTCTGCCTTCGGCTCAGGTCATGATCTCAGGGTCCTGGAATGGAGCCCTGCATCGGGCTCTCTGTTCAGCAGGGAGCCTGATTCTCCCTCTCTCTTTCTGCCTGCCTCTCTGCCTACTTGTGATCTCTGTCAAATAAATAGATAAAAATCTAAAAAAAAAAAAAACCCTCTTATTTTAGATAATCTTTACCTAGAATTTAACAGGTATTTGGCCTGTTTATCATAGTTTGTTATTAAATTTGGGAAACATCTATGGCACAAGTTGATTGAGTTTCATTTGGAACATTGATTTCAATCTGACTTGCAGCTTGGAGTCAGAAAGCTCTGTATTACATGATTTTCAGAGTCAATACTTGGTTTATGTTAGAAAAAGCACGAGAGTAAGTTAGTAAACTCCTTATAGCTTTAAGAGAATAAGAACAGTGGTTTGTATAGCAGGTAGTCTCCAGGAAGAAACATACTGTTTTCCTCATTTCTGGTACTTTACTAACTATCCTAGAGGTCAAATGTGTTTACATTAGATATCAGTAAGTGGTAAGTATGTATGTAAGAATAAGACTTATTTTGTTTCTTTTGAAAAGAGAATTTTTAATAAATCAGAATTCCTTTATAGTTTGAGGAATTCAATGATTTTCTTAAGGATTTTTATCTTCATTGAATGTAAGTTCACTCATATGTATAAAGAATTAGAGCAAGGTGCACCCCTGTCTTTACTGAAACATTATTTATGGTAGCCAAATTATGGAAGCAGCCCAAGTGTCCATCAATAGAGTAATGGGTAAAGAATATATGGCATATATGTATATTTATATATATATAAATATACATATATACACACACACACACACACACATACATAACACAATGGAATATTATATGGCCATAAAAGGAATGAAATCTTGACATTTGCAGCAACATGGATGGAGCTAGAGAGTAAAATGCTAAGGCACACAGGTCAGAGAAAGACAAATACCATATGGTTTCACTGATGTGGAATTTAAGAAACAAAGGGTAAAAAGGAAAAGACAAACAAAAGGGAAAGACAAACAAAAAAACCCCAGACTCTCAACTATAGGGAACACACTCATGGTTACCAGAGGAGAGGTGGGTGGGATTTGGGGATGGGTGAAAAAGGTGATGGGGATTAAGGAGTGCCCTTGTCGTGGTGAGCACTGGCTAATGTGTGGAAGTGTTGAATCACTACATTGTACACCTGAAACTAATAACACACTGTATGTTAACTACACCAGAATTAAAATTGAAAACTTAAAAAAAATTTTTTTTGAGAAAGATTCTGTTTGGATTAGATCAAAGAGTGAGTTCAGGTTCTGTGCAGTTCTCTTATTTTTACAAGTTTATTTCTTGCCCAGGATGATGACAAATTATTTAAAAACACTTCTCTTCCTACTTTCCACCATTCTCTTCTCCACTGTGACCCATGAGTTTGTAGAATGTCTTGCCCTGATGTCCCAAGGTGCTCAAAAAGTGAACCCTTTCTTAACGATTACCATCCACATCTTTTCACTGGGTAATCAAAGCCTGGGGATGAATTTTGGTAGGTTCCCAGCCTCACTGCCAGGTTAGAAATTGGTTCTGTGCTGTGGAAAATGTTGCTGCTATGTGATCATTAATTTTCTGGGTTACATTAGTGGGGTTTGTAGCCGTTGGAGAACTCTAACTACTTGCTGACTGATAACACACAGGCTGAGAACTTCTGTGTTCTGGGCTGCTTTTCTTTTCCTCTAGGTCACTTTTCTTTTTACCATTTTTTCCTTCTTTTCTAATCACCTGAGTAGGATTGACTTCTGTCTTTAATTCAGGGTCATATTTAGGGCAGTTAGGTCTTCACAGGCTCAGGAGTGAGTCTCCCACCTATTAGCTCTGCAGCTTTGGTCAAGACATTTAGCTTTGCCAAATCTCAGTTGTTTTATCTGTAATATGGAGCTAATGATAGTATCAGCCTAGAGGATTTGTGAGGATTAACTGAGATAATCTATGTAAAAGCACTTACCTAACATTTATTGTGCCACTTAGTTTATGCTCTTTGAAGGAGACCAGGAAGCAGTTAGTCTTGCCATTCCTGACAATAACAGAACAAGTGATTTAAAGGATGCCTACTTATTCTTTTGGTAAAGTTCACATCACTCTGTGCTATAGTGTCTTCAGCTATACATGGAGGTTAACTAGCAGAGTAACCATGAGAAATAAATGAGATAATATAAACAAAGCAGTTAGAACTATACCTGGTATATGGTAGTCTCTCAGTGAATGCCAGCTGATTTTTTAAAAATCATTTTTATCTGTGGCCATACCATGGGACTGATTGATCCTGGATCTGTCAGGCCTTGTCTGAGGTTGGTGTGCATGGCCAGCAACTTGACTGCCCTTCTCTTCCTCTTTCAGCTGCACAGTTGGACAGCATTGGCTTCAGCATAATCAGGAAATGCATCCACGCTGTGGAAACCAGAGGTAAAGTCATTCAAAAGATGGCATTGTTCTCAGTGAAGGTCATGCATCTGGTGAGGCGTCAGACCTGCTACCTGTTTCCCGATTTTAAGTGACTCATTAACTCCTCAAGTGCCATTGTTGGTGTGTTTCCATCAGTTGTGTTGCTCTGAAGCAGGCACTCTCAGCTGATTTGGTGTCATCAACCTCTTCGGCTGATTGGTAGAATGTTTTAAAGGCATACATGTCAAATACATAGGATAATAAGGAGTCTAATTACTGGAATTCAGTTGTGATGTAATAGTACATGTATTTCTTTATTACCACTTTAAATAATAAGAAATAGACATGGGCCTGATAACTGGCATAACTTGGAAATACAGTTGACCCTTGAATAATGTGGGAGTTTGAGGTCCTGACCCCCTACCCTCCTGTGCAGTTGAAAATCTGCATATAATTTTTTGACTCCCCTGCGAACAACTACTAACAGCTTTCTGTTGACCAGAAGCCTGACAAATAACATAAACAATCAATTAATACATGTTTTTGTATGTTACATGTATTATATACTGTAATACTACAATAAAGTAAGCTAGAGAAAAGAAAATGGTAAAAGATCGTAAAGCACATTTATAGTACTGTACTGCGTTTATTGAAAAAATTCCTTGTGTAAGTAGACCTGTGTATTTCAAATCTGTGGTGATCAAGGGTTAACTGTCTTGATATTTCAAGATGTCTATAAAAGTCGCAATGTGTTATGAAAACAACTGATTTCTGAACAAGTCACAGGTATTGATAACACTGTGATTTATTGCTTATATCATAATGGAAGGAAATGTTTAATTTCAGTGACAAGGTCATAAAAGCGAAGGTGTAATTGTTTTCCTGCCTAAGTTCATTGACACTCTGAATTCTCTAGTGGACTCCTGGGGTCTGTGGATGGCAGGGTAAGAACCACGTTTTGAAAAGCCAGTCCCTGGTTACTATCCAGGTGGGGAGAAGGGGTCAGGCCCCTGGTTTCCTGTAGCAGTGCTACAGCCAGGCCCTGCCTGTTGTACCTGGGTCTGTAGGAGCAGGACTTTGAGAACTAGGGAAGCTGATTCATCCCAGTGGTCTCCATTCCCTCCTCAGATGTTGCCCCAAAGGAGATTTGTCAGTTACGGCAGTTGGGAGCTTTGAGTGCTCTGGTCTTTGGGACGCCTGAGAAAAGCTGTTAACTCTCTTTGCTGTGGATTTAGTTTGAACCATTGTTAAAGACGTGAGTCTTAGTATTCCACAGCCTCTCAACTTGCTAGTCTTTTTCATTTGATTGAAAGAAGTTTTATCTTTTAAAGCAAGATCCATAACTCTATTAGTTAAGAAACATAAATATCTTTATAAGGCCTATAGAGCATTGAATAGAGAGGGATGAAAAAAATCTTAACTGTATAAGCCACTCTTCTCACCCAGTCAGAAAGTGTTCTTTCCAAAGTAGTTATTTTAATGTGTGCTAAGATTTTTTAAATGTTTGCTTATTTCTGTTATACCTTCCTTAAATAAAGAGTTAAGGCAGGTTTCAAAGAGAAGTGAATAACAGCCAGAGAATATAAAGTAGGAATAGGTGAGATTTCTGGGAATTGATCTGGAGGAAATAAGGACACAGTCAGGTTGAGCCACAAAGCTGTTTACACAATGGTGTTAAAGTGAAAAGTAGAAACTGGTCAAATGTTTTAAAAATTGGTTGAATCACCAGTGGTACATCCATGCAGTAAAAAGCTATGAATCACTAAAACTGTAGGAAAATACATTTATTGATATGCAGAGTTTTTATTATTACATATTAAGTGAAAAATGAAAGTTATGAAACAGCCTGCACAGTATGAACCCATTCTGGGAGATCCGCATATGCACCGGTATCCTCGTGTTGTCAATGGGGCTCTCAGCTTTTCCTTCTGTCTTCCTTTGATTTATCTACCTGCCTTAACTGCAGTTTCTGAATTTTTAAGCTGTTACTAAGATAGCTTTTCAACAGGTTTTTAAATTTTCTGTTCATTCTAAGAGGAAAGAATGAGGAATAAGAGGTACAGGGTCAACAAAAGTAATTTTGCAGCCAAAAGTAAGTTCAAAACAAAAATCTTCTCCCCTCCATTGTGAAATTCATCCACTTGCCTGAGGTGGGCCACCTGTTTGTCTCTGTTCTCAGCGGCCAAACCAATAGGGAAATGTAATTATTTAAAACCCTTCACAGAGTCTGTGATAAATGCAGACCAGTGGCTCAGGAGGACAGCTTTTTATGATATAAAGCCAGAAAATATACATAGTAAGTAGTAGAGGAAGAACAAGGTCACCAGCGGTTTGGTGTCCTAGCCTCTGCCTCTTTGTCTCTTCCTGCCCTAAAAGGAAGATGAAAATGATATGTTTTAACTTGGGGTAAAGTTTTCATTTGACACAAAAAGGAAAAGAGGGCAATGTGAGTTAAATGCCATTTTAGCATAAATACTTGAAGGAAGTGGTTATTTTCCTACTGGAATGCATGTATGCATATCCATTATTTGTGGTGACCAGAGGTGAACAGACCTCTCATATTTTCTAGGGTTTGTTAATCATCATCCAGCAGGAGACAGGATTGTATCCAGTTCCAGGAAAGGTCAAAGACAGAAGAAGTAGAGACACTTCAGAAAGGACAAGCCCTTTAAGCCACAACATTACTGAATAATGGTTCTGCTATTGAATAGCTTGGGGCCCATCCCTTAGTTTTAGACCACAGTGTCCTAGTCCCCAAGCCATGGAGGCTGATGCACATGCTTTTACAGATCCTTTTTAGCTATAAAAACCTATCATTCTAGACCACTTCTTTTTATTCCTTAATTCTACATAGGCCTGGTTGGAGACATTGTAGAATCAGCCTTTTCCCAAATTTCTTCCAGGAAATTTTGTTTTGGTCCCAAAGTAGTGGCCCTGGAGTATAACTCTGTTTTATGCATTATGTCATTATTGCGTGCTGATCTAGGTATGGGAGCTATAATGGTAAAGAAGACAGAATCACTCTACACTGAGGTTATACCATAGTTGTAGGGAGAACAACAAAGAAGAAACTAAAAAAGAAAGAGAATTTCACATATTATTACTTACTACAAAGAAAAGAGGGTAGGGGACCCACCAGTAGGGTTGGTCATGGGATGCTCTAGGTTGAAGAGGTTGCATTTCAGTTGAGACCTGAATGGTAAGAAGATCTGGGAGAAGCATGTTCCAGGAGAAGGAAACAGCTGAGCAGAGGCTGTGATTTGGGAGCACAAGCTTGGTGTGTTGGAGAAATAGGAAGGCCAGTGTAGCTAGAGCAGAGTGAAAGTGGTTGATGATGCAGACGTGGGCCAATGCTTAATCCTTCAGGGCCTTGTGGGCCACGGTAAATTTTGATTGTGGTCTAAATGCAACGCGAAGCCATTGGAAGGTTTTGAGTAAAGAGAGGATTTGAGCTGATACATACTTAAAGAAGTTCATTTTGGTTGCTGGTTGGAAAATGGACATCAGGGTAATAAGATGGGAAGCAGGAGACCACTTAGTTGAGAAGTATCAGGTTTGGTGGGCCTAGTGCTAAACAGAAAAATCATTTCCAATCACTTGGTCTAAAAGGTCCCTTTTTGTAAATGGTATAGTGGTGATCTAATGCTTGCTTAAGGATTAAGCAATCCTTGCTTAACTTAAATGAAAAAAACCACTGAGGTGGCTTAGTTTTTGTTTTTTTTTTTTTGAGTGTTTGGAGGTAATTCTCTTCTAGTTCAGCTGTACATTTACTTGGGTTGAATGAAGGTAATTGTCATTTTTCTTCATAAAGAATGTTTACATGACAAATAAATGGAGTTCCTCATTTCTAAGTCTTGGTGAACATTGTCCAAAATTAAAAATCCTCTCACACCTCTATATTTTTATCCTGTATTTGCAAATAGATTGTAAAGCATTTATTCTTTCCTATAGTATGAAATTTATATCATGTCAGTTTTGGCTTTTTAAATTAAAAAATTGGTTTAATGTAACTTATTTAGAAGTATATGTTTGGCATCTTTTAAAACTCTTCAGAGGCTGCATTTGGCAAGAGAAGAGGAAGGTTTCTTTCCTCTCTGTTGACTGAACTGAACTAACACAAGGGCTGAAGTGTGCAGCACACCCGTGAAATCCCAGACAGCTGCACCAAATCCCACTCCTTTGCTAAGAGCAGAGCTGAGTGACAGGGGACTTTAATTAGAGTGGGTTTTAGAAGGACGGAGAAAATGAGAAAAATGCATCTGGCTGGGTTGGCTTGACTTGTGTTCTGACATGCCTCTAATTAAATCATCACTGTTTCTCTTCTCAGGGATCAATGAGCAAGGGCTCTACCGAATTGTGGGGGTCAATTCCAGAGTGCAGAAGCTACTCAGTGTCCTGATGGGTGAGTGCAGCAGTGACTATGCTGGGCAGGTCCTAATGGGGTCGAGGGGGTCGCTCTGAAAAGTCACTAGTTCTGTGAGTATGAGCAGCCTCTTGGGAAGGAATTGGGTGTCCAAGAGGGAACGCCCAGAAATCAGCTGCCCCACTCACCAGTTTTTATGGCTGTAGGCCTTACTGGAAGAGATACTTAGTGGAACTGGACAAAACAAAACAAAACAAAAATGGCAGGGCCAAGGCACCACACCCTCCGTTTGTAGACTCAGCCACTGCCAGCCCAAGTGGTGCTCAGTCACTCATGTGACCACCACACCCTACTCTGTCGTTAATAGCTTCTGACTCCACGGCCCTCTTTGGAGACAGGCATTTGGTGGGGCACACCCGATGCCCAAGGAAGGGCATCCTTCTAGCTTGCAGAGCACTTCAGACGCCATGTTCCCTGTTACCAAAAAGGTGTCACGTGACTGCCTGATTACATGTATATAAGCAGATAATTCTTGTGATCCTCTTTGCATCTAGATTTCTACCTAGACACTGTTGTTTGAGGAGCAGAACCTCCCCTACAGCTAGCTGACATAAATATAAAAGCACTATCTCCAAATGTGTAGTGTTTGAATCAAAACCCCATGAGTCAATGAGCCAATTTGCTTAGGCTGCAGATTTCCTATATTTTTAGATGAGAATGCAGCCAGCTTCAGTGAGTCACATGGATTTAAATGGCAAACAGATCAGATTTCACATATCAGTGGCTGTTACTCATCCCCATGGAAGCCCAGCCGTGCACTTGTAGGGACAGACTATCACTTAGGGTCCTTACTCATTGTCTGGGCAGGGATACTTCTTTTGTCATATTTGTCGGGGTGTTTTTTGTTGTTGTTGTTGTTTGTTTTGCCATCCGGTTTCCGAAAATAGTTTTCACAGGTAAAGAAATCTCCTCTCTCATATTGTCCAGTATGACTCTTCTCTGTTTCTTTTTCTAGAGAGCTCCTTACTTCTTGTTTGCAAACCCTTTTCTATTGCTAGTCACAGTGACATATTTTATTTGAAAGTATGATTATTTGTGAGGTACTCTTGCACTGAGAATCTGCTTCATGGTTCATATTTGTAGTGTGGTTAGATTCTTAATAAATTAAACTTTTTGTTTTGAGATAATTTTATGTCTGTATGCAGTTGTAAGAAATAAAACATAGTTATATGTGCCTTTACCCACTGTCCTCCAGTAGTAACATCTTGCTACACTGTAGTAAGAGGTCATAGCCAGGATATGAATACAGTCAAGATTCAGGACAGTGTCATCACCACGAGGGTCCATCTGCTTAGCCTCTCACCTCCTTCCCTGCTCCTGCCGACTCCTCATCTCTTGTATATTTCTCTAATTTTGTCACTTCAAGATTATCTCAGTGGAATCATATCATATGTAATCTGTTTTGGATTGGCTTTTTTTTTTTCATTCAGTATAATTCCCTTGAGATATTTTCAAGTTGTTGTATCAATACTTTGTTCTTTTTTTATTGCTGAGTAGTATTACATAGTTTAATCATTCACCTGTTGAGGGACATCTGGGTTGTTTCCAATGTGGGTAAATTAGGAATAAAGCTGCTATAAATCGTTCTGCACAGGCTTTAAATGTGAACATAAATTCGTTTTTCCAGGATAAACTGCCCATAAGTTCGATTGCTGGGTTGTACAGTGACATGGTGAAGTTTTAAGAAGTTGTAATGTATAGAAGAATTAAGATTTTAACAGGTATCAACCCTCAGTCTTTCATTTCTTTTCTTTTCTTTTCTTTTTTTTAAAGATTTTATTTATTTATTTGACAGAGAGATAGAGAGCACAAGTAAGCAGAGCAGCAGGCAGAGGGAGAGAGAGAGAAGCAGGCCCTCTGCTGAGCAGGGAGCCCAAGGCAAGGCTTGATCCCAGGACCCCAGAATCATGACCTGAGCCGAAGGCAGCCACTCAACCAACTGAGCCACCCAGGTCCCCCTCAGTCTTTCATTTCTGATCAGAGTTGCAAATGTTTGGAGTATGTCCTTGCCATAGCAGACTGCCAGGTGCTAGAGTAGAAACTTTAAAAAGATTCAGTCCTTGTGTGCAAAGAGTCTGGTAGGGGGAGATACGCATGCATGAGAATCGTGATGTAAAATAAGACACTGGCACCTAGTACAAGCTGTGTCTGGAAGATTGAGTAGTGAAGGAGAGAATAGCAGTATAATTCAGATTCACGAAATGAGCAATAGCATGAGGGGCAGAAGGTAGCGTCAGTGGTGGCTATAGTGGAAGGTACTAATTTATTATTAATATTATTTTAATATTTGAAAGTGCTTTAGGCTGGATCAGGAGAGTTAAAACTGAAATGGTAAGATGGTCCCTTTTGTCAAAGAACTTGAATATTGTGCTAAGAAGTTTGTGAGAGTTTTACTTCCTACAGAAAAAGAAGAAGACATTATTAAGGGTTTGTAGTGGGGCACCTGAGTGGCTCAGTTGGTTAAGCTTCTGACTCTTGATTTCAGCTCAGACCATGATCTCAGGGACGTGAGACTGAGCCCTGTCATGCCCAGCGTGGAACCTACTTAAGAGTCTTTCTGTCCTTCTCCCTCTGCCCATCCCTTCCTCCCAAAAAGTTTCTAAGTAGTGATGCTATATGTGTGAGGGCTCTTTTGCACACACAGTATCAAGAAGATAATTCAAAACAATTTAAAGGGGGCGCCTGGGTGGCTCAGTTGGTTGAGCGACTGCCTTTGGCTCAGGTCATGATCCCGGACTTCCAGGATCGAGTCCCGCATCAGGCTCCCAGCTCCTTGGGGAGTCTGCTTCTTCCTCTGATCTTCTCCTCTCTCATGCTCTCTCTCACTCATTCTCTCTCAAATAAATAAATAAAATCTTAAAAAAAATTAAAGGAAAAATAAAAGGCATTCATTTCCTCACACAACTGCTCTGTCCAAGATGGCAGAAGCATAGCAGGATGTAGTGGCTCCAATGACAGAGGAACCTTTGTTGGAGCCTTTCCCACTCCTTTCTTCTGGCTTCTCATTATCTGTGATCTCTGCTTGTCTTGATATCACCTGTTTCCTTTGTGGGACTGTCCCACATTGTTCAGCCTCAACAGTTTGTGAATCTTACATCACTCAGTAGAGAGTATCTTTCTTGACAGTTCATGGATGACTTTGGTCATCATGGGGCTATTCACATGATTCATTTCTAAATCTCAGGGCAGCCACATGACCTACAGCAGGTGGATCTGGATTGGCTGGATTCTGGACCTATCTCCGATGATGTTGGGGAAGTGTGGCAAGTGGAATAGGGAGGGGGTTAGTCCATAGAAGCCTGTGGACTGAGCAGAATTAGAAAAAGATTGTTGGATGAGAGCTCTCCTGAAATAATGGCTGCTGGGAGATTAAAAGGGAAAAAAAAAAGTATATCCAACACAGGTTTAACAAGATCAGACTAGTCTTAGAAGGGTAGCACTGGCAGCAATGGGGAACATGTATTTGATGTGGAGAGACATGGAAGAGGAAGACAGTTGCAATAATTAAGCAGTGCATAGCTAACCAGGGCTGGACCAAGTAGATGCTCTGAGGTTAGGGAAAAAGGCTCAAAATGATTGGAGAGAATCAACAGGACTTTGTAACCAACTGGATATTAGGTAGAGAGATTTCGAAGATGACAGATTATTATGTAAGGTGATACTAGTGAAAAGAAATATGACATTTTGGATGGGTTTACTGGAAAAAAGAACCAGTTTATGCTAAGCAAAGTGTGGTGTCAAAGGATCTTGTTTTAATCACTTCTCTTAGTGGCTCTCAAACAAAATATTTGTCCTGTTCTCTTCCTCAGTTTTCCTGGGGACAGACAAAATAATCATGAATATCTGCGAAATGTCATGAAAAACTAATAGCCAGCAGCTGAAAGTCACAAGGCCAGCTGCCTCTGCCAGGAGAGCATTACAGATAGACTAGCATCCAAACTGAGGCTCAACCAGAGCTGAGAGATGGCCACAGTGCAAGATCTCATCAAAAGTGGAGAATGGTATCATGATTCTCATGACCAGTTAAGGTAACCTGTTTGGATCTTGGAAGTGAGGAATCATCTCTTAGACCAGGAAGACTCCAGACCTGAAGGCAGAGCCCTGTCTCTCTTCCCTTGTGTGAACATGCTCTGCCCTCTTCTTCAAATCCTGGTATTGGTACTAGGCTGAGTTAGCCTAGAGTGTAAAACGAATAAGGCTCCTACACTGCAAAACCTCTTGCTGAGGTGGCTGGGCTGCATGTGAACCATTCTTTCACTATTTCTTTATTCTGTATTGATTGGATGCCCTTTCAGGTACTGGGCAATGTGTAGGATATGAACTGTTTTTCAGAGCCTCTCACAAGTAAAAGTGTGAGTTTTTGTTATTGAAAGTATGGATTAGAATTAAGTAAAACCAGAGACTTCCTTTGATCACTTTGAGTTTCCTTTGTATGCTCTTAGTACATTAGAGGACTTGAGGTTGGAAGACGAATCTTAAGAGCCAGTACTTTCAGGGGTGCCTGGGTGGCTTATTTGGTTAAGTGTCTGCCTTTGGCTCAGGTCATGATCCCAGGGTCCTGGGATCAAGTCCCAAGGCCCCCGTTGGTCTCCCTACTCAGCGGGAAGCCTGCTTCTCCCTCTCCTTCTGACTGCCCCTCTGCTTGCTTGAGGGGCATGCATGCACTCTCTTTCCCTTTCTTTCTTTCTTTCTTTGGGAGGAAAAGAAAGGAAATCTTAAAAAAAAAAAAAAAAGAGCCAGTGCTTTGAGAACTTTTTCCTTCTATTGATGAGAATTCCTTAAGAAACCTTGCTAGAATATGTTTTAGTACATGCTGTTTAGCCTGGTGCTAGTGTCCTACCAAGAGCTACCCTAAATCCCCTTCCTCCTAAGAGTGGGGGTTCTTAATCTGTGAAGAATGAAAAGTTCTCAGGAACACTTGCAGATTCCTGGAAATAGTCTCTTCCGTGTGTGTTTTATTGTTTTTCCTGTCCCCTGAA